TGGACGAATCTTGCCGAATCATACTAGTTGCATATCATTTATTTGCAATACTCTCTCATTAATGCAAATCTCATCGTGACATGCAACATACATCTCATGCAAGTGACAACATAAATCACATATGCATCATCGTCATTTTCCACATTATACACATACTTGAATATCAAATTSATAATACCAAGTCATCATAATATTTCTCTTCAACATCACCTTTCATATCATGCATAYACTTAAATATCATGCACATCAATATAATCAAGTTATCATCATATGCATATAAACACATCATGCAAATATCATGGATAAAATACYTTGTAATARTCATGTAYATATCCCATAAAAATCGCATAATGTACTCACCTTGAATCGTTAACSTTCGATAGGTCGTTCTMTAAAAAACGGCAACCTACATGATAATTTATATCATTCCTAAGCATCTTAAATAATYGTAATTAAATTGATTACTATTCCTTAACAATCTTAACACGACTTTTCTTAAMATTCTTCTATTGATCAACCCCCGATACCATCATGTCTCATGTTGCGCTCAAATATTTTCTTGAAATATTATTAATAATGTGACGTCGTTATATATTTATTGTTGCTCGTACATTTTATAAAAATGTGCACTACACTTCACATTTTCTTGAACAATAAGTATTTTACCAAAATAACTAAACTAAATAGTTCACAACGTAAATAATGTTTTRTGGTCAAAACGTCTCYTTTAAAATTTGTAAGTGAATAACGGTGAGAACATGTCACACAYATATAAATAAYGGTCATTCCATAACTTTAAAGTTCAACGTAATTAATACTCGAAATAATGTTTAGAATACCAATTTTCCAAGTCTAGGGGCATTTTGGTAAATCTTAAGAATCCGAATACCAAAGGTATAGCTTTAACCAATTCCCTAATTTAGAACATTCTTGGTATATTTAATAAGTCGAATATTAAAACGGTGCWTAAAAGTCCAATCCCAAAGCATAGGGGCATTTTGGTAATTTTRTTAARYAATACTCAAARTATTGTTAAAATACYGATTCCCTAATTGTGAKGTCATTTTGGTAATTTCATARGGATTARATTTAAAATAACACTTAGATACATATTCCCAAGACCTTGGGTCATTTCGGTAATTTTATAAAGCAAATATGTAAAGTATTGCAAAAATACCGATTTCCAAATATAAGGTCGTTTTGGTAATTTTATAAAAATAATAATATAAAAAATGAAGCTCATAAACCAATCCCGAAGATATATGGTTATTTCGGTAAATTATTGAAGCAAATACGTAAAGTATTGCTAAAATACCGATTTCCCACTTATAAGGTTATTTTGGTAACTAAATAAGATAAATAATCGAAACTTGGTCAAAGTTTGCATTTTACAAAATACAAATAAATTTAATGAAAGTCTCGTAAAGTYATTAGGGAGAAAATTATTTGATTTCTGAAACTTAAATCTTTGTGCATATTAATAAGTACAGTGCATAGTTATGAACAAAATGGACGTTTAGGCTACTAGTTAACGCCTTATGCTTCATGGTTGAGGTCGCGGATTCGAGTCCCGCCCTCAATGCCCTTTATCTAATTTTTTTTTAAAAGGTAAACCCAGGTGGAAAACAGCAACGAGACCGCAGCTATGGCTGCACCATTTTTATATTTTTGAGTTTAAAAATGGCTCATTTTTTTGACCATTTTTCTTCATTCTTTTTGCACCAATCTCTTGGTAATATTTTTACCAACACTTTGACATAAAGAACACGAATTTTCATCAAGAAATGAGTTCCATTTACTCATTTAAAGTTTGTTTTTAGAACTAAAACTCAACAACTTAAAAACATAAAAAATCGAATAATGAAAACACAAATATGAGACATGAGGCTACTGAGGTTTGATAGAGTACTTAAAAACGAAACTATAGACATAAAAATCAAGAGATTTGGTTAAGAATCTCACCCAAAATCGGTGAAAAACCGAGATTTTTGATTCCGAATTTCAAACTGAGATTTCTCTCTCAAAACTCAACGATTTTTCGAGCTATTTGAACCAAAACGTTTCTAAGCCAGAGCTCTACAATTTATATGCCAAGAGTTTTGGCTTATTAGTTGAAGAAATCGGACAAATCGTGAGTTTTAGGCTGATGAGTCGTTTTCTTTAAACATATATGTACTATTGGCAAAACAGGTCCCTCATCTTTGAAAAAGATGAGATTCGGCCCCCTCAAGTTTCTGACATTTACCATCAGACCCTTGCTGACGTAATATCTTACATTTTTTGGTCCAATAGTTAAAAAAAACAGTTTTACTTTATTTTTCTTTTTGTCTTTCTTTTCATTATTTATTTATTTAAGATTTCTATAATTATTTCTTTTAGTTCATTATGTAAATATTTTAACACTTCAAATAAATTTAAAAAATTATTTCAAGGCTCATATAATATTATTTATATATTTAAAAAAATAGGTTTTACAACTCTCCCCCCCTTGAAAGAAAATTCCGTCCTTGGAATTTCTACTTAATTTTGTCATACTTATTTTTATCTTTATTTCATATTTCTTACATCACGAGAGAATCTTTTGATCACTCATTCTTATTCTAATCATCTATTTATTTCAGTCTTACATGCATGGCCAATTCGTACCTATTATAGTTTAATCCTCTAATGTCCATAATAACAATTGAATCCCAAATTTTCAACCATTGATTGGTAACACACCAATAATATGCCTATTAATCATAGTATATTTATCACCAATGATAATCTTTAAATTGCGACAAGGTAATTCAACTAAAAACAATGGATCTTAACACCAACGACGAGTTAATTGGCACATAAAACTAGTAAATTCATGCTTAGGTATTTGATAATTAACAAAGTACCTGACACCGTGCATGGTGCAACCTATGCCTCTTCAGCAATCATTTGGAAAACTCGTCCTTTGGTTTTAGGCACCTCGGGTTTCTTGTCGTTCGGTCCTTCGAGCAACTTCGGTTGCATAAGATCATTTTTGGGACACTCATTGGAGCGATGTCCGACAGCCCCACATGAATAATAAGTAAATATTGTTTTGCATTCTTTTGACATATGACCAGGTTGCCCACAACTATAACATACTCCTTTACCATACCTACATTCACCATGATGGAATTTTCCGCAAGTGACACATGCGGTCGAAGTTCTAATATTTTCTTCCGAAACTCGAGTTTTCTTGAACTCGTTAACGTTGACAGCTTTCTTCTTCAATATCTTATTAAAGGCATATGGGACATAACTATCCTTTTCAGCAAGGGTGGCAAGTTCAACCGTCTCTTGGAAAGTCTTAGGTTTTGACATTCCCACCAATCTCCTAATGTCCCTTTTTAGTCCATCAACAAATCGATCTACCTTTCTTTTCTCGGGAACGACTTGATGTTCAACAAATCGAGATTTCTCTATACAAGTCTCTACATATTTCTCTACAGTCATACTTTCTTGCTCTAAACGTAAAAACTCACTTTCTAATATCCTCATCTGGAGTGGAGAGAAATACCTCTCACTCGTTAATCCCTTAAACTCATCCCATGAGAGAGATGTAGTGTTTGCCAATCCCCTAGTGGCACGAATTGATTTCCACCAATGTAGTGTATTTGACTTAAACATAGTTGATGCAAATTGTGCCATGTCACTAGATGCACAATGACAAGTCAGGAAGCAACTTTCTATCTCGTCTAACCAGTTCATAGCTGCTAGAGGCCCATTCTTCCCCTCGAAAATAGGAGGACGGGTGCTAGTGAAGGATTTGTAACTACATCCTTTGTTATCAGGTTTCTTAACTTCTTTATGGTCGGAGTGTGCCTCCCCGTTCGACTCCTCATGATTGTGAGATTCATTATTAGTCGACTCCTTAATTTCATAAGTTTCATTTTTTGAAGGTCTATTATGCTTCAAACGATCTTCTACCATCTTAAGTGTTGCAGTTTGGATCTACTCAAGCATTCCAGGTAAGGCAGTGCGTATACAACGTGTCATCTCTTCGGCAATGTTCACTTCTGGCTGTGTAGGCTGAATCGGTGGTCTAATAGGACCACTTTGTCTTCGGGTTGGGGTTGAGGTCACTCCCTCGACTCTGTTATCTTCATGACCAATAGCATTCATTGACCTTGTCACTCTCTTCGACATTCTATAATAATGAACATTTCGACCTTTAGTATACCTATGCACACTATTTTATTCTTATTATAAAATTTCACTATGCACAAAAAGTAAACTTCACATATTTTTCTTCCTCGCTCGATGGTTGGGACTCGTTCCATCACTAACCATCCCACTATAAAGATATACGAACCATACATATATATAATACATGTAACTTTATCACCAATTTTGCATATAACAAAATCATTTAATGCAAGTATCACATAGCGCGTTCCAAATAATTTATACCAAGTACGAATCATAAAGTATAGGGTTAAAACATATTTCTCTTAATTTTTTTTGACGCTCGTAATCCTTAACATGTGTACTCCTTTCTGAGTCCTTGAAACTTTCTATCTCCAAATTTTAGTTGTCACTTATCCTCCTTCTAACTTTTCATTGGCTTACAGTAGTTACTATGCGAATGTAAAGGATTGTTGGTTAACTCGAATCTAGGCATTCTAAATCATCAAAGAAACTTAAGACAATAGCTAGGTAAGAACTCATGATTACTTAATGAATGTCTAGGTACTTAAGTCAAACACTTCTTATTAATCCGTTCGACTACCAAAAAAAAAATGATCAAGCCGGTAGCTTAAATGTTAGAATCCTTTTGTTGCCCTATGTAGCCTTCGGAGGTCCACAACTTAACCAATCATACATTTCTATATGTGTCACTTGATATGGTTATATCGACTAGAAAATAAGTAGTGATCAAACTTAGGTAGATTCATTTCTTAGTCCTAGGAGTGGAAAATTAGCAATTTCATAATTCACTTTGACTAAGAGTTTCATGACTAAAGATCATATAATATCCTTCACAGGCTCCCATCATCTAATTCTTAATTTAAGTCTAAGCTAATAATAAATTAGTTCACTTAAACTACGGCTCTGATACCAACTTGTCACGCCCCGATTTTTATTTTATTTTTTTTCGAGTGTCGTGACGTCATTCTTAATAACTTATGTCATGAACAAAAATACGAACTTAAAATTTCAAACACACATAATATGTTTAACATAATTCCTTACATAATTGCGGAAGCGTAAAATACTTTAACGTAATCAATGCTAATTAAAATATCTAATCAAGCATGAGGACTCCAAGACCTCGGAATTGCAAGCTCTCCTTTCATGTCCAACCCACCCTGTACGGTGGACGAATCTTGCCGAATCATATTAGTTGCATATCATTTATTTGCAATGCTCACTCATTAATGCAAATGATCACATGCACATATAAACAGTGTTTTAATGTCTTTTAATTATTATCTTGCAAGTGAGGCCTCGGCTCGTCACTTTTCTTTGCGTATGTGGCGTATTCTATGGACGAGGACTTCAAGACCTCGGAATTGCAAGTCCTCCTTTCATGTCCAACCCACCCCG